GTGATTTTTGAACAAATTATGATACACCCATAGAATAGAATAGTATGCACTTCTAAAACTGCCATAGAAAGATGTTTAGAATACATTGTGAATTTTAAAAAGACGGTCCTAATATAATATGTACTATCATCCTATTTTGGCTAAAGAGTTCATTTCTATGTATTGAACAAAGCCTGGAAGAATATACACAAAAATGTTGCTGTTGTTTTCATCAGGTACTGGGATTTTAAAAGGTTTTTTTTTTCTTTTCTCTTTACTTGTATTTTTCTTCCTTTATACCATGAAACATTATGTTTGAGGAAGCAAAACATAAAAAACAAAAGAACTCAAACACCATGTTGTTACCAATTTAATGAGAAATCTCTGGCATTGGGAAGCAATCATCAAGTGTGTGTGTGTCTGTGTGTGTGTGTGTGTATACATGCACACATATGTGTAAATGACATCTGTTGATGGCTGCGCAGTGTCTGAACACATTTCTTATTTTGGGAAATCTCAAAAATATTGGAATCTGGGATAGTCCCTTTCCTAGTTCCTTGGTTATTGATCATCAGTCATGTGACCTTTGTTAACCAAACTAATGCTCCGGCCAGGACTTTGATTTTTGTGAGAGTGAGGCAGAGATGTAGAAAACCATCAGAGATTACTCATGGAAGCTATGGTCACACTGAAACAGCAAACTTCAATGAGTGTCCAAAGGCAGCAGAGCCCAGTGACATGTTAAAGACTCTCCAGTGGAAGCTGTATCAGCAGCAGCTTTCAAAGCAGAATTTCCTATGGTATGACATTGGCAGAGTTTTACCTTTCTTCCTTTCTACTAGTTTCTTAAGTCTACTTCTCCAGCAACCCTACAGATTCTGTGGGCTCTGTGATGTTACAAAATATTCCTTTTCTGCTTTAGACAAAGCTGGCTTATATTGTTTAAAACTAAGAATTCTGATTGATACAGTGCCTAGCAAGTATCATGGATCATACTTTTGCATTTCAGAAACTGCCACTATTTTTCTAGGTAGTTCAAAAGCGTACTAGAAAGAGAATGCACTTTGAAGATAGACTGATCAGGTTTGAATATCGGCTACTATAATTACTAGTTGTGTGTGACCTTAGACAACAGACCTAACCTCTCTCAGTCTAAATTTCTTCATCTGTAAATTATTAGTATTATTTCTTGTTCTTCTTCTTCTTATTTAGTAGCGGTAAGGTCTCACTATACAGCTAGGTTGTTCTCAGACTCCTGGACTTAAGCAATCGTACCACATAGGCCTCCCAAAGTGATGGGATTACAGTTATGAACTATCCCACTAGCCTGTAAATTATTTCTGAGAATCTAACAACATTAAAATTTTGCATCTTTCACATTTATCTCAAATTCTTAAATTTCCTCTGGTATTTCATGGTCCACATTTACATGTGCACTTTGAAATGATGTATACACCTCCATTATCTTGAACACCACTTATCAATACTGTGAACTCTTTCTATCTCATTAGGCTATTAAACTCGTAAAAATAAACGCAAATGTCTGCTTTCTTCAATACTATACATAGGTTACTGGAGTACTGCTGGAGAAATTAGAAGTAACTCATATAAAGCCAATATACCTTTTGGGCAGACTCATAATCCTATGTTCAGATAAAAACAAACAAAACAGGAGCCTATATGTAAAAAGCACTGAAAAATGAAAAACAACTTAAATCATTACTGAACTCTCACGAAGCCATGCTAATGGAGGATTTCATTGCTAATGCACATTAAAAGATAATTAGATTCTTTTGTCTTCTCCCTAAATTGTGCAGCAGAGAAGCTATCCCAGCATCTTATTTCATACCCCCAAAGTCTTCCTCAAACTCTCTAACCTCCACCTAATATGACTTTTCCCACCAGTACATCCACTTCTCCAGTCTTTCAAGATTGATTATATTCTCCCTCAAACTTCCTAATGTAAGTGATTCTAGCTTTACTGGCTTCTTTCAAGTTTCCTCCCTTCCCAATACATAAAACAGCACCAAAAATTGGCCTGAATTTGAATAGGAAACAGGGAAAGACTTACAAACTTTTAAGAATTAATAATCTCTTATCTTCTCCCATACCTTACAAGAAGTTTTCTCCTCTCTTCATCTCCCTCCCTGTCTCTGCCTCCACTACACACACCACAACATGATATATTTTGATCTAAAAACTCCACTGTGTCTTTTTTTTCCCCATTTATTTATTTTATTGCATTTTAGGTTTTGGGGTACATGTGAAGAACATGCAAAATTGTTGCATAGGAACACACGTGGCAGTGTGATTTGCTGCCTTCCTCCCCATCACCTACATCTGGCATTTCTCCCCTTGCTATCTCTCCCCAGCTTCCCACCCCCCACCGTCCCTCCCCTATTTCCCCCCAACTGACCCCAGTGTGTAGTGCTCCCCTCCCTGTGTCCATGTGTTCTCATTGTTCAACACCCGCCTATGAGTGAGAACATGCAGTGTTTGATCACTGTGTCTTTAAAAATGCTCAGCAATGCTACATTTCCCTGATTAGTCCTTTTCTCTATTTATCAGCCCAGATATCTCTCCTGAGCAAAGTTCACAAATTCCACAGCCTTCTGGACATCTTCATATGAGCACCCTATGGTCATTTTAAATATGAATTTACAGAGAATAAAAAACTCATCAACCTTTCTCTCAAATTGTCTCTTTCTTGTATTATCCACCCAAATATCAACTTTTCACATAGTCCAGCAAGGAGTGATTCCTGAGCTTCTCCTTTGAATCACACTCAGTGTTCATGAACCGGGAAGTCCTGACTGTTCGATTTGCTAAATATCTGTTGCATGATATTTAGATCATGAGCCTAGATCAGACTAGCATTCGTGCTTTCCTCTATTTGGTCTTCCCACCTCCAGATCAGTCTTATCCAAGTCCACTGTTTTTACTATAGTCAAAACAATCTATCTAAAATGCCAATGTCATTCTGTTACTTAACTACATGGGTTCTCCTTTCTGACTGCTGAGTTTTCCACCAGACTTAACGACCAATTAGGAGGAAGAGAGACTGTATGCTATAGTTGTTAAGCACATAGACACTACAGTCTGTCTGCCTTGGTTCAAATCCCAGCATTGCCTTTGCATATATATGACCTTGGTATATGACCTTGGACCAATGACTTAATCCTACAGGGCTCAGTTTTTTTCCCTCTTTCTATTTATTTATTTATTTCCACAGGGCTCAATTGTTGGTTTTTTTTTTTCTTCTGAGTTGACAAAAGCATCTATGTTATAGGGTGGCTGTGAGAATTAGATGAATAATATAAAGCTCTTGTAAAGTGAGAGCAATATAAATGTATGCTATTATTTTATAGCCTAAAATAGAATGTATAGCCTCTCTGTACTTAGTCTCTTCTTCTTCCACAAATAGGAATGATACAGATGACATAAATTTTTTTGACATTAGATGATAAAAGAGATTCATGTTATATGTCATCCTCTAGTAAACATTCCGTAACCTCCCATTTCCCCAGTGCAGGAATACATGTACAGGCACACCTTGTTTTTTTGCTCTTCACAGATACACGTCTTTTACAAGTGGAAGGTCTGCGACAACCCTGTATTGAGCAAGGTTGATGCCATTTTTCCTACAGCATGTGCTCACTTCACGTCTCTGTGTCACATTTTGGTAATTCTTGCAAGAGTTCAAACTTTTTTCATTATTACTATATCTAAAATGGCGATCTGTGATCAGTGATCTTGGCTGTTTCCATGTAACTGCTTTTGGTTGCCACAACACATGCCCATATAAAAAGGCAAATTCAAAAGATAAATGTTGTGTGTTCTGACTACCCCAGAATCTGGCTGTTCCCCCATCTCTCTCCCTCTCCCCTAAGACACAATAATATTCAAATTAGGCCAAGTAATAACCCTTCAGTGGCCTTTAAGTGTTCAGGTGAAAGGAAGAAAATCATGTCTCCATTCAAATCAAAAAGTAGAAATAATTAAGCTTAGTAAGGAAGACATGTCAAAAGCCAAGATAGGCTGACAGCTAGGCTTCTTGTGCTGAACAGTTAGCCAAGTTGTGAATGTAAAGGAAATGTTAATGAAGCAAATTAAAAGTGCTATTCCAGTTAATTTTCCTTAAACCAAAGTGTAATCCAGAGCAAAGCCCTAACTCTCTTCAATTCTGTGAAGGCTGAGAGACGTGAGGAATCTGCAGAAGACAAGTATGACCTTGGCAAAGCAAGTTGGTTCATGAGGTTTAAGAAAATAAGCCATCTCCATAACACAGAAGTGCAAAGTGAAGCAGTAAGTTCTCATGGAGAAGCTGCAGTAAGTTATCCAGAAGTTATCTAAGATCATTGATGAAGGTGGGTACACTAAACAATAGATTTTCATGTAGATGAAACAGTCATCTATCTATCTATTAGAAGATGCCATCTAGGACTTTCACAGCTAGAGGAGAAGTCAATGTTCAACTTCAAAGCTTCAAAGGACACACTGATTCTCTTGTTAGAGGCTAACACAGTTGGGGATTTTAGGTTCAAGCCAATGGTCATTTACCATTCCCAAAATCCTAGGGCCCTTAAGGATGATGCTAAATCTACTCTCCCTGTGCTCTATAAATGGAATAACAAAGCCTAGAGGACAGCACATCTGTTTGCAGCATGATTTGCTGACTATTTTAAGCTCACGGTTGAGAGACCTACTGCTCAGAAAAAAATACTCCTTTCAAAATATTACTGATCATTGACAGTGCACCTAGTCATCTAAGGGCTGCAATGGAGATGTACAAAGAGATTAGTGTAGTTTCCTTGCCCACCAACACAATATCCACTCTGTAGTCCATAGATCAAGTCTTTCACCTTGAAAATCCATCAACTTTAAAGTCTTTTTAAATTAAGAAATACATTTTGTAAGGCTATATCTTCCATACACAGTGTTTCCTTGATGCGTCTGGGCAAAGTAAATGGAAAACCTTCTGGAAAGGATTTACCATTCTAGGTGCCATTATGAATATTCATTCCCTCTGACCTCGGTAGAGCAGCCTCTGCTTGTTGGTGCCCATCACATATCAGCCAGAGATACAGCAATCCCTTGTTTATCCCAGCTTAGCTTTTGGTCTGTGCCCATACCTCCTTCCTATGTGGAAAATATGGGGGCAGAAGCAAAGAATATTCTTGATTCATGAGAAGAGGTCACAAAATCAACATTTACAAGAATTTGGAAATAGTGAATTCCAAACCTCATGGATGACTTTGATGGGTTCAAGACTTCACTGGAGGAAGTATCACAGATGTTGTGGAAAGAGCAAGAGACCTATAATTAGAAGTGGAACCTACAGATGTGACTGAATTGCTGCAATGTCATGATAAAACTTGAACAGATGAGCAGTTGCATCTTATGGCTGAATAAAGTAAGTGGCTTCTGGAGGAGGAATCTACTCCTGAAGATGCTGTGAAGATTGTTGAAATGACAACAAAATATTTAGAATATTACAGAAACTTAGTAGATAAAGCAGCAACAGGGTTTGAGAGAATTGATCCCAATTTTTAAAGTAGTTCTGTGAGGAAACTTCTAGCAAACAGCATCATATGCTAAAGAAATCTTACATGAAAGGAGGAGTTGATCAATGTGGCAAACTTCATTGTCTTATTTTAAAGAATTGCCACAGAAAACCCAACATTCAGCAACCACTACCCTGACCAGTCAGCAGATGTTGACATTGAGGCTAGACCCTTCACTAGCAAAACGATTACTTGCTGCAGGCTCAGGCAATCATTAACTTTTTGTTGTTGTTGTTAGCAATAAACTATTTTTAAATCAAGGTATTTCCATAGCTGTGAGGGGAATGGTGGTCCTTTAGTCAGGAGTAGGCTGAGGTGGCCTTCTGGTGCAGCATGACTCAGTGGGTTTGAAGTGCAAGCACACTACCCTGTACATTATGTAACCACACCACATGAGGAGCATTAGATGATGATCTATGAGAGCTCATGCTTAGCTCGGAGCCACTATTGTCTGTAAAAGGTATAATTATTTCAGTTAGAACCTAACAATTGGCATCACAAACAGGATCCTGAGGTGAGTGAGCCTTTGGTTCCTACTGATTTTGGGTCAGCCATGTGGCCACAACATGGGTTGTGGTGCCCAGTGGCAGCTGTGCCAGTTGGATGGGCTCTGATGGAAACCTGGACGGAGGTAGATGGGTCCCTAGCAATCATGAAGAAGATGCTGAAGCAGCTGGAAGCACGGAACACTGATGAATGAGTCTTTGCTGGCAGAGTTGGATGGGCATTTTTGACTGTGCTACGAGAACTACACATCCAGTCCCCGAAGGATGCAGCATACCAGTTGCAGGTGAGCAAGTGGTTGGCACAAGAGCAAGGTGACCACACCCTGATTGAGTGGCTATGGGCAGTCATACAGACTGTGTGGAATGATGCAGTTGAAATACCTGAAACTGAGTAAATGGCAGTCATATGCTGATTTGGTGCAAATCATCTGGGAGATGGGTATGTGGCAGGCTGTATTTGACCTAAATACCCAGAGGCCAGATGATAAACATTCCATCTCCACATGAGGAGTCTCATGTCGGGTTCTGCAACCCTTGGCTCCCCAGCTGCTGTCCCCACCCTGTATGTAGGGTGACAAATACATGAAGTGATCACTGCTATGGCGGTTCTAGGGGAAGCAGAAGGCCATTGGCAGGACTGAGGAGTCTGTGCCATAAAGAGGGGAAGATGCCCCACCCATAGGGGGGCCCCTCATGAGAGAAAAGGAGGCCCCAACGAGTGACATGCTCGTGGATGTGGATAGATTTGATTTGGCTGGGGTTGACCAAGAGAAAATCAATAAGCACCCCAATGAAGTACTCTTAACTTTGCGGCAACAGTTGTCTCTGGAGCAGCAATTCCAGAAAATGCCCAAGGGGGAGAAGGACATTGCTGTGCCACCCAGTCCCACCTGGGTGCTTTAGCTCAAAGACTGCTTGCTGCAGCAAGGTGGAAATGTACAGCCATTTCTGTCTGATTAAGGAATTGGCCAAGATGCCCAGCTTAGGGAGACACTAGATGACCAGAGGCCACATGTGGAATTAGCGATCCACTGGCCCCCCACCAATACACAGTGGGTGGGGTGCTGGCACTGGTGGATACTGGTGCAGATTGCAGCCTTCTTTATGGGAATCTAAATAAGTTTCTGAGCAAATCTGCTTACTTTGAAGGTTATGAAAGCCAGTCAGTGAAAGTGAAATCTGTATTCCTGCACCTTGGCATCAGTCATCTGACTCCCTGATAATATACTGTGTATGTTCTCCCATACCTGAATACATTCTGGGGGTGGGCAATTTACCTGACCTGGCATTACAAACCACAGCCAGGGAATTCAGACTTCGGGTACACATGGTGAAGCTGGTGCTGAATGGACATACGCATCACCAGCCTCAGGTTTTGCCACTATCCTGACAGGTTACTTCCACTCATCAATACTGCTTGTTGGGTGGATATACAGAGATAACTGAGACAATTAAAAAGCTGGAAGAGGTGAAGAACATGTGTGATACCCATAGCCCCTACAATTCTCCAGTGTGGCCAGTTAGAAAGCCTGATAGAAACTGGTGGACGATGGTGGACTATCGGGAACTGAATAAAGTAACACCCCCTTTGCATGCAGCTGTATGGTCAATCATGGATGTGATGGACCATTAGATGATGGAAGTGGGACAGTACCACTAAGTGGTGGATTTGACCAATGCATTTTTCTCCATCGATATTGCTCCAGAGAGTCAGAAACAGTTTGCCTTCACATGGGATGGGCAACCAAGAACTTTCACAGTGTTGCTGCAGGGCTATGTGCATAGCCCCACCACATTTCATGGTCTAGCTGCCACGGATTTAGCTGCCTGGCAATGCCAAAAGGGGTCCACCTATTCTATTATATTGATGATATGTTAACCTCTGATTCTCTGTCAGATTTAGAAGTGGTGGCACCCCTCTTGTGGCAAACATTTGGCAGCATGCAAATGGGCTGTCAACGAATCCAAGGTCCAAGGGCCTGGATCATTTGCCAAATTCTTGGGAGTTATCTGTTTGGGTAAAGCCAAAGGCCATCCCAGGGGCTATCATTGAAAAGATTCAGGCATATCCTCAGCCTACCACGGTGAAGCAGCTGCAAACTTTTGTGGGCCTCTTCTTATATTGTTGGGCATTTATGCCCCATTCAGCCAAATGATTAAACCGTTGCATCAGTTAACAAAGAAGGTAGCTACCTGGAATTGGAATAATGTAGCTGAGACTGATTTCCTGGCAGCCAAGTGAGCTATTCAGTAGGCATAAGCCCTATGGGTAGCTGACCAGGGGTGCCTATTTGAGCTGGATGTGCATGTGACCACAGATGACCACAGATGGTTTTGGTTGGGGCCTGTGGCAGCACACAATGCTTAAGAACACCAGTAGGCTTTTGGTCCCAACCATGGAAGGGAGCTGAGCTCTGGCATTCCTCGATAGAGAAACAGGTAGCAGCTATATATGCCACCCTTCAGGCTTGTGAGAGTGTGACAGGACATGCTGTAGTCATCATGCAGATGACTCATCCAACAGCAGGATGGGTGCGTTCATGGGTAGTGACTCCCTGGACTGGGATGGTGCAGACATCCACTTTGGCAAAGTGGCACCTACTTGGAGCAATGGAGTATGCTAGTACAAGTTCCTTAGCAGCAGAGCTGCAAGAAGTCTTGGGACCTATAGTCCTAATGCAAAATACGGTCATGGGACCTAAGGTACCCCTAGACCCTGAGCCTTCACCATTTAAGGGAGGGTGTCCCCCAATTCCCAATGGGGCATGGTACACAGATGGGTCTAGCCAAGGTGATACAGCTGCTTGGACCACTTTTGCAGTCCAACCTAGTACTGACACCATATGGTTTGAAACTGGGTGTGGACAAAGTTGCCAATAGGCTGAACTTAGAGCAGTATGAATGGTGATGGCCAATAAGATAACACTGATGGTAATCTGTAGTGATAGCTGGGTGGTCTATTATTGCTTAACTTTGTGGAAAATACAGAAATTGCTGGTCAGCCACCAACCCATTTGGGGTCAAGCCATGTGGCAAGACCTCTAGGAAACGGGTCATCAGAAACAGGTAACTATTTATCATGTGTCAGGCCGTATGTCTTTGGCCACCCCCAGCAATGATAAGGCAGATGCCTTGGCCAAGGTCCAATGGTTAGAGTTGGCACCTACATGAGATGTGGCCTTATGGCTATGCCAGGAACTGGGACATGCAGGGGGTAAACTGATGCAACAGGTCAATAAGCGCTGGGGTCTGTCCCTGCCCACGCAAGACATTTGGGAGGCTTGTGAGAAATGAGCGGCATATGCTCAGGCATGCCCTAAATGGAGGGAGCTGCCCAGTGTTACACAACAATTAATGACAGGGCAAGTGCCCTTGGTCAGATGGTAAGTAGACTACATCAGGCTGCTGTCAAAGTCACAAGGGTATAGGCATACGCTAACAGATGCGGACATGGCCACAGGTCTGTTATTCGCCTACCTGTGGCTTACCCTTGCAGGGTGGCCGATCAACAGAATACCATCTGGGCCCGGCAACACTTATGTGCCCAACCTGTATGGTCGCCCTCTGGCCATTGGGACTGTTAGGGAACACATTTCACTGAACAATGCGTATACCAATGGGCACAACAAATGGACAGAAAGTCGGGATTCCATGTGCCATACAACCTTCAAGCTGCGGGTATAATTGAGCAATATAACTGGCCCTTGAAGAATTGGTTATGCTTGCATGTCACAGCCCTGTCTTTGTGGGGCTGGAGTTCCAGGCTGAACCTGGTGCTTCAAACCGTAAATGAGCAGTCATGGAAAGGTGGCCCGGCCCCAGTGGAGGCTTTGTTACAACAGGCTGCCACCCCTATTCAGTTGCAGATACATATTAAGGATAACTTCCTCCAAGCAGGTATGGGGATGAATGGTACCTGTTGTTGCCTCCCCCAATGTACCTGAAGGCAGGGAAACAGAAAGGCTGTGGCCATGGACCCTCCAAGTGCCGCATTGCCAGTGGTTGGCCATTTTAGCTCCCTGCAGGGAGGGCCTACAAGATGACTTGCATGTTACTCCTTGGGTGTTCAATACATGGCCCCCGCGG